ATATATATATATATATTTATTTATTTTTATTTTTTTTTCCCAACACCTTGACTTATATATTTAGTAGTATATTCATTCATTTTCAACACTCTGAATGATATATTTAGTACATTTATTTGTTGGGGACTTCTAACACACTGAAGAATATATGTATTCATAAATTTATTTCTAACACCTATTTGATATTTATTTATTACTATAGATATTGTTATAGCAAGGAACACACTGAATAAACATTACAGTCTGAAGTAGAAAAACTGCAATAGTATTATTCTTATTCTTATTGTTATTGTAAAATGTACTCCAATAATGTACTCCAAAAATATACTCCAGTTTTACAATTAAAAAAAAAACGGTTTACAGTATCTACATATTTGTCAAAAGTTGAAAAGCATTAAATGGTGACAGATTGTCTGAACTGCTTTTGAAATTTCTTTGATGATTTTGCATTTTATTGCATAGTTAAGCTACTTTTGCTTGTCACCCTGACATCTTTAAAGCTAACTGAATTTAATCTGAGACAAACTATTTGCAGTTACTTGCCATAAACGTGCCTTGTTAAGCACCCTTTCTGTCACTGATAAGGCGGAGCTGAAGAAGCTTGTAAGGTATGGTCAAGATATTAACATGCTAACATGCACCACATCTGCCATATACAAGACTCTGTGTCCATTTAGCTCTTCTGTGGAGACGGGTTTCAATGACTTTGAGCAACGATCTAGTCATCTATTTCTTGTTTACTGATCCAGCCAACATCATAAACACTTACACAGTTTCAGTGGGTTTTCACAGCAGAGATTTATGAAATTTGATTTTGTGTTATGAGAGGTTAAGAAGTACTTATTCCCACGTTATTGCTTTATTAATTGTATTATATAGTATTATAACATCACATGATAAATCCCTTTTGTGTTGCATAAACGGTGTTACAACATTCAGAGAATCTAGAATGCAATGAATACGAATTATAAACATAAGGTTTTCTGGTTAAAACTAGTTTGGAGTGACTTATGGATTGGGGAGTTACTGAGGTTACATTCCTTTTCCATCAACATCTTCCCCCTTTCAACACCAGGTTGCTCCAGGGGGATTGTCACTATTGTTAATAAAGTATTAAGTAGCTTTGGATATATTCGAAGTTGCATGTAAACTGGAAAAAATCGATCAAGCTGTTTATGTTATATTTTCTTAATTTTGCTAGTAAATTTCACAAATAATTACAAAGAAATGGCAACACAATGAATCAAATGTGCAATGCTTAAGAAGAAAAGCTGAGCTACTGTAGTATTTTCTTGTACTCCAATAATCTTAGTTTTATTTAGAATTAAAAAAAAAAAAAAATCTTTTTACATTGTACAGCAGACCCCATACAATGTGAATTTGGTCAACAACATTACTTATGACCAGTCGCATTGGCTGTTTTATTGATTATGTTATGTTTTATATTATTTTAATTCTATTATTTAAAATTTTTACCTTCTCCATCACTATGTCCAACCCACTGCCTATCATTGCTTAAAATCTGCCAAAATTGCATTTATATATTAAATTATATATAAATGCAGGAAAAAGGGGACAGCCTACTTGAAAACCCCTAAAAAACAGGGGAGAAAGACCACATTAAAAGAAGGATAATGCATAAACCTAGAGCTCACTGCTCAGTGCTCACGTGGGGGAGAACCGGATCATCAGTATGTGGTTTGTGAATACCACAAAGCTCACCAAAACATCATTAGCCTGTTGGGCCAAAAGCGTGCGTGCGTTTCCACTGTCACTTCTGGGGCTTCGTGCCTCGTCGGTGCTTCCTTGGGGCCAACGGGTTTTTTGGCCCGACGAAAACCTTGGGCCAAAGCGGGCCAGCTGGGGCTAGAGGAGTGGTTATGAACAAAGGCGGAGTTTCTCCGCGTCTGGAGAGCGTCTGCGCCGCGGATCATTTCATAAAGTTAACAGCTATAACACCAGCATTAAAGACTTTTCAAATAATTTTAGTTCAAAACTCACTTTCAGACAGCAGCGAGTGTTTGAAATAACTTATGTTTGAGATCCGATGTGGATTATGATCACCATACAAGGCAGAAATATTTATAAGCGATGCAAGCCATTAATGTTACCATAGTAAACATGGTAAATGCGACCGCTTGAAGAAATCAGACGTCAGCTTCTTTCTCTATCACAATCGTGTATTTATTTAGTAACATATTTTATCTGTCATAAGTCTTGTCTCAAGAATTTAGCTCTGCGTATGTCATAAAAATATTATAATGGTTTTTGTTCGGGAGCTTTTATAAAAATATAGAAATGTTCATTATTTCTAAATGTGATGTATATACTGTGACTACAAATAAACAGAAACAGACTCGACTGAATAAGCAGGTAGGCTATGTCCATACCGCTTTATTTCTGTGTGAATATCCAGGATTTTCAATCCTGATCAATTAATTCAGAATGATCAATGTATCACTTATTATTGTAAAACATTGATGCTTTTGGATTTAAATCTTTAACAAAGCATGCAAACAAATGGCTGCTTTTATCATGTTCGTTTTGTGATCGCACTAGTTCCAGTGATTTATTTCTTTTTAGTTTTCTGATAACTTCTCTTTGTTGGTAAAATGATGGGGTTGCGTCGTGACGTTGTTCCTGAGAGGCGTGTAAAGGGCGGGTTTTAGTGAAGCGCAGCGGAGCTTCTGGCCCGACGGTGGAAACGCAGCGTGATTTTGGCCTCGGTGCTACAGGTCCGAGACTATTAGCCCCGCCCGGCCCGTTTAAAGCACTGGCTCGCACTGGCCCGACAGTGGAAAAGCGGCTATTAGTCCAGTGTCAGGGCCTCATGTATGCAACAGCTAGGCAAAACACCCTTGGGGGGAGGAAGCGAGCACTAAGGGTTGTTAGTGTCAGAGTGTTGATTATCAAAGCGCCTTCTATCGATCACCCCCCTAAGATCCCCTCTACTTTTCTTAGTGTCATGCCTCCTCTATGTTCAACTCCAAGAGGGGGGAGGAGCACGAGTGACTATGCTAGTCCTCTGGCCCTGTCTACGATCCTCGGACCGTGATTTACCAGCCCTGTCAGAGGTTTTGGGAGACGATCTGGTTCGGCGAGGGATGTACCTCTTAAAGCCTGCTGACTGCTCCCTTACTTCACTGAACTTCTCGATCACCACCTCGACAGATATACCGAAAAGCCTGGAAGGCGAGAACAGAGCTGACTGCGAAGAAAGTTTTTTTTTCATTCCTCCCGATGTGCGCTAAATTCAACCACAGATGCCACTCCATGGCCAATATTGCAGCCATCGCTTGCCCAGTCTGCTTGGTGGCGCGGAGAGGGATATCTGTAGTGTGTTGCAGCTCTTCTACAGTCTCAGGGGACAAACCCTTACCTTCATCCATCTTTCAGCAGGTTTGCCTGGTAGGCTTGTAACATGGCCATCATGTGTAAAACCCCTCTAGCCTGACCTGCTGCCACATACACCCTGCCATTCAACCACGAGGTGGTTTGAAGTGACCTGGATGGCAGAACATGAGCCTTCAAAGAAGATAACTCACCCTGGGAGAGATAGCCCGCAACCTTTTTGCAGCGCAGGCCATAACCTCCAACATTTACCCGTATGCTGGGATGACTCAGTGCTCACACTTTCCTCGTCACCACCAACTACATGCACTTCCTCATCATGACTGGATGACGCCAGCAGTGCGCTATCCGCCGGATCGGATGACTAAAGCGAGAGCTCTTCTGGATCCCGTGTCTTTGCGCATTCAGCATCTTCGAGCACTGAACATGCATGCTCCACTCTCAAACACATAACCCATAGGTCGTGTGTGTCCTCAGGTGTCAGAAACCTCAGAGTCACACACTCCTTTATACTTCCAGGTGCTCCTCCATGACGTCACAGGCTGCTGTCATCCAATGAACTGGAAGTGTTTTGCACACATGCTTCAGACACTGGTCGGGCTGACGGCTTTCACCAAAGTGTCCTCCAGGGGATGCAGTGCGAGTTCCCACTCGAAGGGGAAACTTAATTATAAGGGGAAACTTAGTCTTGACATGACCTTAAAAAAAGTTTTGAAAAATTGCCCAAAACTGCAATAACTGGTCGGGCTGACGGCTTTCACCAAAGTGTCCTCCAGGGGATGCAGTGCGAGTTCCCACTCGAAGGGGAAACTTAATTATAAGGGGAAACTTAGTCTTGACATGACCTTAAAAAAAGAGTTGAAAACTTAAAATCTGCCAAAACTGCAATAAAAATAAATAAATAAATAAATACAAATCTACATCATCTATGCAGGTGTGATTTTTATAAATAAAACTCATAATAATTGTTTTGTGATTGTAGGTAAGGCATCTGTGCATCTTCCTTATCCTGTGCTTTCATTTGGTGTATGCTGGTGTGCCAGGTCCATGTAAGCACTCTGTCACCCAGGACCATCTCTTAAATTTAAGACGTCTGGTAAGAAAAGCTGCTTTTACTAGCAGTAAATCACACTGTGGGCTAAACAAAATGTACTTGTATTATAAAATTATACGGAAAAGGATTTATTATGCTTGCTTTGTTATAAAATCCCACAGCTGTATGCAATGATCATTCATGCATAAATTATTTGTTAAGTTTGAGTGCTAGTGAAAGTTAAAACTGAATTCAGAAATATTTTGGCATTCAATTTTTCTAAATGAATGGCAGGGCACTAAATAGTGCTGATAGACTAAATGCCATCTAATGGGAAAAAGTTGCATGAAACTATGCCTGACCTCTTTTAAAGCCCCTATTAAAATTGATTCTGATGTTGATAAATATGTGCTAAACATACGGCAAACTATGATTTTTCACACAATGCTTTCCTTTGCAGATAAAGAACCAGCTGCAAAATGGTTGTTCAATAACCTACACCTTCACTGAGCGGCAGAACCTGGTATGCATATTTTCACTTTTTTTCATGTAATGGCAGATATGGATTACCCAGCTTTCTATGGGTATTTCAACAGTTATGAACAATATATGAATAACCCTGATATGATTGTTGACATTCTGGTGTAAAAGATATTCCTCCCCTGCCACAAAATCAGATACTGATCTTAAACGGATGTTCCATAAGACCATGTTTTAAGCCAGAGAGGCAGCAAAACCATGTGAAGCAAATTTAAGCTATTTAAGCAGTTTAACAGTCATAATAACTATATATATATATATATATATATATATATATACAGTAGGTGCATATATGGTTACATTTACCCTGTTTTTCATGACCGCCGATGCAGTTGCACTAGAACTCCCTGAATTACTGGAACATGACTGTACAATTTGCACAGGCAGAAGCTCAGTTCTTCCACAGGGAAATGATCCTGGAGTTCACTATTATGTGGTTATGTCTCTCAGCAGCTCAACTGCAGTGTGAGGGACTGAGAATACTACATCCCCCTGAGCAAAATAAATAAACGATTTTCGAGTGTTTGTTTAAAAGAGACTTTTGGCCTGTCTGAATCTACAATCCCTGAGTGTCAAAACTCATGGATCATGTACTGTCTCCTGGTGATCACCAATTTTGTTTTTCTAAAATGGCTCTTATTCCAAGTTAGATTACTTCTAGCAGATATTTTACCTTGTATGATTATAAATTGTATTGATGTGATGGTGCTCAAGTGAGTGTCGGTATCGCTTTTGGAGATTTGATTTTTGTTGTTACACAATGACTATTCACATTTTTACATTTCAATTGTGTAGGGAAGTTTGCAAGTGTATGTTTAAAGTGAATGTGGCTGACATTTCCAATAGTATTTTGTTTTTCACTGGTCACTTAATCCCATTGGTGTGTGGCCTTTATACAGCCACCCACTGGCTTGAACACATGAAGTTTAATTACTGTTGCACTTTTTTTTGTTAATAACTGTGGTTGTTTGTTTGTTTATGTTTTGCCTTGTTCCTTTGTTCCTCCTTGCTGTACTCCTTTTGAGATATTCTTCAATATATAAGTTTATATACACTGCCAATCAAAGGTTTGGGGTTAGTAAGGTTTTTTTTCTCAGTAAAGGCCTTTCCACACTGAGCGCGAAAAAGTTAAGCGAATATCGGACGCGATGACGCGCTGGAATAAAACAACAGATTCCTGGATGTTTCCACATAGACCGCGAACATTCGCGCACCGAAAATGCGAATGTTTTTTTTTTTTTTACCAGTCCGACGAATCTTTTCAGTTTCGCAAAGC